AATCTTTACTACTCTTAGAGGCTTGCAGACTATTGTGTGGGGTTTATAGCTACTTTATGACCATGCTGGCCTATGTTGTTGGTTTGCGGAAGCTTGTGAGCTGTTTGTTGTATTGTATTGATATATACCTGCTTTTAGTTTTGGTGTAGATATCATGGTGGCCTCGTACGACCCAATCAGGACTTCTGTTGCTAGTTGACTATTTATTTATATGATCTCTTGGGAGTAGCTGTTTCTTTTATAGATTAGTTGACAGGGGCCTTGCCGGCCGATGACTTAGTTTTAAGCCGAGATATACTTGTTTGATTTCTTGATTGTGTGTGGCTACCATGTGCTAGTAGCAAATGGTTCAGCAGGGTCGGCTCGGGCCTAAATTTTGGCATTAGGAGCCAGTTGCTCCCCTCTAGTTTGGGTCGTGACAAACATCATGATCAACAGTTGCAAAATCCTTAATGAGTGGCTCTTCAATCCATGTTTGTAAAATAAAATATAAGGAAGGAATTATAAGGTATTTTGGATTGGTGATTCAAAACAAAAAATATAGTATCAAAAGTGATTTAAGTGTTTACTGTACAACTAATTATACACAAAAAGCCAATGATTATTTCATTATATGAATTAAAATTACTAAAGTATCAATCATTTGTAAATGATACATTGTTAATAATTTTAATAAAATTAACTAATGATTGAAAGTCATTAAGTTATATAATTAAATTTAAGTATCATATGCATACCTTTGCAACATTTTCTTCGTTAACAAGTCGTTGTTCAACCTCCACATCAGATGCATCACCATCGTGATCAACAGTTGCAAAATCCATTTTTATAGGTGAAATGGGTTGTTGGAATAATTGATCAGAAGCAGATTCTAGATCAACATTACCTTTGTCTACTGAATCATCCACTATATGTGGCATAGAAATGCCACTGATGTCCTTCATGATGAAAAAATTGAGTATAACACAAAACTAAAAAGATAATCTAAAAATAAAAATACTACCTTATCACTTTTGTTATCTTTCGCGGCAACTGCTTTCGTCAACTCAAAATGATTTTTTATAATTAACGCCTCAAGAGCTCCAAGTTTTTGGTCAACCTGGATTCAAATTAAGCATAGTAAGTGAGATTATAAATAACAATGAAAATGTTTAAATGACATAATTATGTTTACTTACATAAGACTTAATGTGACCCTCCAGATCCTCGATTCTTGCATTGTCCTATGATGTTCTTCGGGGAACTGTATTAAGATGAACACCAGATACATTATCAAACTTTAGGGGTTGTGAAATCGGAGTTTGAAATGGCTGATTCTTTTGCACGTTTGGTGTTGTCTTTGGTACATTATTTTTTGTTGGATGTGCAACCTTTCTTCTCTTGGGGGTGGGGTGGATCCTGTGGTAGAAGCACGTGTGCATCTCCTTAATAGTTGCTCCGGAGGTTTTGATGAAAACTCTTCAAAACCATAAACATTGTCTGGTTGCACCTCTTCCTGATTAGCAACTGATGTGGTTGGTCGATATGGAGGTACATGACTATTAGTTGGTAAATCAAGTGATTCGAGTTCCTCTTGAGTTGGCTGCACGTTAGAACAATCATTCTATAGAAACAAAAATTAAAACATCGTTAGAACTACTTAAATAATGTATCACAAATAAAACAATAAAGTAAAAGAGGATGCTAAATACTAATTACCTCAGTAGAGATTTTTTCCATAAACATCTCGTATTTAGGCTTTGCACCCACAATTTTCCAATTTCATACTCTTGGTATACCATTTCCTTCTCTAACAGCTATCTCGTTATGCATTACCGATGCACATTCATATACCCAGATATTAAGTGCGTATGGAAATCCATTCAACCGATACATTTATTTGTCAGGTTAGTACTCTTTCCTAAATGATTTCATTAACTTCGTGAAGGCAAGTTGTCCCCACATAAACTGTTTATAGCTGCCATCTTCTACTATAAAGAAATCTTCTATAGGAATTGGTGCATCACCGAGTTCGGAGAAAACAAACGTATGAATGAAATACAATATAGCCATCTGAAGAGCATCATCACTGCTATCCCAAATACCCAACTCAAAACGATCTACCAGCCGTCCTTTGTTTACGTTATAATTTGGACCAGAAAAGTATCGCTGAACCAGCCTACTGGTTTTTGAAATCGGATATGTAAAATCTTTAACATTTCCGGTACACTTGAGACCAGTAATAATTGTAAATTCTCTAATAGAAAATTGCAAAACATTTCCTTTAGCATGACAAATATGGATTTCTTTGTCTAAATTATCATGCTCAACCTCTAGAAGATATAAACATTTGGTAATTTGTCCTTGGTAGTGACACTTGGGGATATTAAGGTACTGGTCAAATATGGTATCCTTAAACATGTTCATACCTTCATCCTTTATTGACAATTCCAAGTTTTCTTTAAAATTAGAATTGTAAGTAGGACCAAACTTTAGAGGTTGCTTTGGAATATGTTTAATTACATATTTCATATTCTGCAATTACAGAAAGATAAATGATGTTGATCAATAACTAAATCGATAAATGATGCATACATAACTAAAAGGGAAATATCATAATTGATTCAAAATATTATGTTTCAGATCATTTTATACTTAGTATGCCAAAATTGCATGACTGATACAGAAAATCATATTACTTCTACAGATCATTTTATACTTAGTATGCCAAAATTGCATAACTGATACAGGAAATCATATTACTTATGTATATACATTGGCTTCTATTTAAACATGACACAAAATGTTAACTAACATATATGTTAAATTATGTTTTCGCATCATTCATGTGCATATCTACGAATATGATACATTGTACAACAAATAACCTCTATATCATACAACGAATTGAACGCATATCTTAAATACAAATCTCAGCACACAAAACTTGCCTTAAACTAGTGTTTCAGCTACAAATGTAAAATAAATACTTATTTTTGTATCATCTACGTATATGAATCACCAGTAATAGATACTTTATTTCAGCAATGAAATCTTAATACCAACAATTGATAAAATATCGGTGTTTCT